GAGAGAGAGAGAGAGAGAGAGAGAGAGAGAGAGAGAGAGAGAGAGAGAGAGAGAGAGAGAGAGAGAGAGAGGGGCAATGGGCATACCAATCACTGCTACGCTTGGCGAAATGCATTTGTGGGTTTGTTAATGGTGGTTTAAACTTTAAACCACCAGTACACCCAGGCCTGGAGGCGCTGCACTGTGTACCAAGCTTTTCGGAACCACCAGTGGTGCATTTTCTTTTTTGTGGGCTGGTGCCACCAGCCATTGTGGCCAGGTAGGCCCAAGCCGCAGAATTTTCACAGTAGGCGACAGACAGAACCATGTATAGGATGCTTAGGCCCAAGAGGGTGTTAAGGGACCGAATCAATGATAGATGGGCCCAGCACCTGAATGTGAATCGATCTCTTCTCACACCCATTAAGTGGTTTAATGGAACGAAAACCAGGCCAGCAAAAATCACGTCATTACAATGGCAGACTGCCCGTCGCTGCCTGCCAACAAACGCCTGGCTGATTGACCACACACACTTGGAACAAAAGGGGAAAGCACATCCATGGTGCCACCGATGCTTGGCTGCATTCCCAATGCAAAAAAGGAACGAAACAATCGAGCACATCTTTATGCAATGCCCGGTGGCAGTGCTAATGTGGCGATGGTGGGACCGCATTTGGAGGAAAGTGACGCCTGACCTTCCCTGGCCATGGTCTTGGCAAGCCATACTGGCTGGACACTGTCCGGCAATGGAAAGTGCCCCCTCCTATGTGAGTAACCTGTTTAGTTTGGGCATACGGTCGGTCCTCTGGGCACTTTGGTGGCAGCGCTGCCTTCTTGTCTTAGAGGGGGTTAAGATCGAGGGCCCTGAACTGACAAGGCAGATAAAGTAACTAGTGCAATTGGAATTGACACGTAGGTGGAGGGACCTTAAGCTGCAATTAGACATTTTTCAGACAGACCGGGATTTAAAGAGGGCAATTATGGAGTTCTGTAGGGAATGGTTGGGCGGGCAACGGGGTGGATGGATGGCTCAGATTGAGTGGACAGGGGATCGGGCTGTTGTGTCAGAGAAAGAAACGGAAAAAGAAATCCCGAGGGATTACAGACTCCTCTTTAATGACTGGACCAACATTGATCCAACCTTCCCGATGAGGCCCCCGTCTGATTTCCCGGATCTGTTCCCCCCTCACCCCCTGGCCCTGATGGAAGTTATCACATAACTCAGATGCAAGAGGGGGACATGACAAGATCTCGACAAGATTGCAACAAGACTGGACCAGTGGACCAGATGAGTCTGAGATAAGCCTCCCTGGTGCCCCCCGGGTGTTGCTTGTCGAAGGCCCCCCCAAAATCATCAGATGTTCATAAGCCGTACCGGAGTGGACTGAATCAACTTGTTCTCAGCAAGAAATAGTCAAAGATAGGGGAAGGGAGGAACTAGTGTGTAGCAGCAGGTATCTGGCGCCAGGTTCAGGGCGAAGAGGTCCCC